GGTGCTAATTATAACGTCCGCAAGCGCGACCACAGGCCCGCATCACATCGCCAACACCCGTCTCGTGACCTTGTTTACTTTTCACTCCCGTCGTGTTTGTCTAACGTTTGTTGTTGCCACGTTCTGCACGTACTGTGCGTTCAACTTCTTTCGCACGGTACGTAGCCAAACGTGCTAATCGCAGGTGCGTTCTGACCCGCTCCGACTGGATATCTGTGATGATTTTGACAGTCGATGTTAAACAACTCTGAAACGACTGCTCGACGCTAATCAGAACGAGAAAAGGGTGCGATCTTTCCGTGTATATCGTGTTCCATCTGCGCTCGATCTCACTCCCGCGAGCGTGAGCAACGCTCGCGATGCCCGTCGTGTGATTGTATCTTTGACTTGATTACAAGAATTTAGCAGGGAGTCGGTGGGGATGGCTGTCGGGCCTTCAATCGGCAGTGGGGGGTGCGCTGTACGGTATGATATGCCGCGTACAAACACCGCTGTTAATGCGTCGTGAGTGCAATAATCTGAGACCAATAATGCAGTGCAATGACTCATCACCTGACGTTAATTGCAACGCGCCTTGTGTTCGGGAACAATTCGAACGTGCTATCGTTAACTGTCGTAAGCCGAGGAAGACGCGAGCACGGACAGGACGAGTGGCACGTGCGCACGGACACGTCCGGTGGCACGTGTGGGCAGCAGTCATCGACGTGGTCAGACCTCGTAAGCTAAGTATTATTTTGAGCCCGGTCAGTACGAGGATGCATGGAGAGATCGAGGCTTGCCAGGTGTTGTAGGCGTTGGGGGGGGGGGTTGCTGTGAAGTGAGGCCAGGAGGTGACGGCAGTGATGAGTGTCACCCCATCGTATGCATTGCGGTGCTTGCTGGGTTCTCTCCGGACGCCTCGGGGATTCCTCCCGCAAGAAGCCAAAACTCGAATTCATGGATGTGACCCAAACATCCCAGTGTGGCAGGACTCTCCTGAAACACAGTCTTTCGGCTCATCGGGGCTTTCCAAGTTAAAATTAATTGAATGTTATTATCATTTTAGTTTATATAGAACTTCATGGCAATATGACCTGTTGTGTGTTCAAAAATATTATTTTATGTCGTTTTGTCAAACTGTTATTGGATTAAGGCCTCCACTAGTCGCGTCGGCCATGGAGAGTCTGACCATACCTCACCACGCTGACCAACGCGGATCGGTGATTTTTTTTTTGTACAGAGGAGAATTGGGAGGAGTAAATCATTGGCCAGGCGGTCAGAGCGCTAAACTGGCATCGCTGAGATCCTGAGCATGATGGATTCGGGCAAACGTCACCAAAAAAAAACACCTCGTTTCTACACTCAACGTCTAAATTCAACCTCTGACAATGAATACCGTATGTCGATTTGATTATCGTGCGAGGAGCATTTCTCGCGTGTGCAGAGAGAAGGGAAGGGAGTGATGCCCCTCCAAGCCACATGGACGGACCAGAGGAGGGTCGCTTAAAGTGAACTCCGAGGCAGCTCTGTGATGTCCGCTTCCGCGGGCCGCTCTGCGAGGGATCCGAATGAATTATGTCTCATCCGCGACGTGACGTCGATAACACAATATATATATCAAATAAATGAATAAAAACACACAACGGGTGGGTGGTATGACAAAAACACGGGAGTCAGGCACTGCTAGAGTTATCCAACTGCGCTAATGCATTAGAGCAGTTGAACTTATCTTCTTGTTGTTGTTGTTTGTTACGAGTGGAACGTCTGTGTTGCGCCCCCTCGAGATGGCGATGCCAAATATCGTTCGCGCCGCACGACGCAGCGAGGCCCTGCAGAGTCCCTTTAAATGTCAGCCGGGTTATTTTAGTCAAAGGAGCCAGAGCATTTTGTTGATGTCATCGCGTGACTGACAGCCGGACTATTCTAACAAAGACAAAGATCCTCCGTGTAGCCTTAACAGTCTGTTTGGGCAAGTGCTGTCAGCGAGCACCTGTGAAGGCCGGGACGGTGCACGAGGGGGTGGGTGGCCAGCACCACGCCCGGCCGCCTTTGTCTCCCTAGTGGTGATGTTTACACACCGCACCAGGTACTCATTTGAGGCTGAGTCGACCTAGGGGAGGTCCAGGATCGGTTCAAATAATCGTCACTGGTGTTGGCCATGAGCGGGAATCGAACTTGGGTCGCCGGGTTTGTAGCGCAGCGCGCTAACCACTGCGCCACCGCTCCCCACTACACACACACAGCGACAACTATAAAGCATCCCCACTGTGTAGCCTTTTGACTGTTGGGGCAAGTGCTGTTCGCGAGCACCTATCACGGGCCGGTAAGGGCACACCAGGGCGAGTGTGTGGTCGCTACCGCGCCCGGCTGCCTTTGTTTCCCGCAGCCCCACGCCTTCAACAGGAGGGGAAAGCCGTACTGGGGGGGGGGGGACAAAGGCGGCACTCGTACTGAGTACACGTCTTGTACTGAAACCCATAACCTGTCCATGTATCACTCGCCCAATGCGTTGTGTGTGTGCCGTGTATTGCACTTCTCTCGCACCGTACGTAGCCAACCGCGCTAATCGGAGGCGCGAACGTGGCCGCGAATCGAACTTTGCGTTGCGGGATTCACAGCTGACACACACACAGAGAAGCAAATATATACTACACTGTATATAACATTTAAACATACACACACGCGCGCGCACACAAGCGCGCGTGTTACACTCGGAAGCATGCCCCCCCCCCCCCCCGGTTATATTTAAAGGGACAGCGGCGCTCACGGACGCCTCCATTCAGGAATAAATGCGGTGCGCTTTACGTGTAAGTGCGCCGGACGCCCTTGGGATTAACTGGGTGCAATGACTACACCCCCCTTACTCTCCCCCCACCACCACCCACCACCACCACCCACCACCACACACAGCCTCCCCCTCCTCCTCCCGCTCCGAGCGCACCTTAAAGGCACCCTGGCAACACTCCGGCGTGGGTCGCACGCGCCCCCCACCCCTTCCGCCCCTGAATCTGCGACCCCGCCGAAACCCGGCCAGGCAAAGCACGTCGACGCTGCTCTACAACAGTGATAACTCACTCACTCACTCTCCCCCTCGCGCTGACTCACTCACTCACTCAGCCCCGAGTCCGTGCCGCGTTCGTCGCCCGCGTTAATGGATGGGGGAGAAGGAGGTGGGGGGGGGGTGCCGGCAGCGATGGAGATGGAGCGATGGAATGGGCTTGTGGTGCAGCAGGGTCTGACACGTGGATTTGTCGACATCGCAGGAGCGCGAAGAGATGGCGACGCCTTTCGGGGATGACTTCGGTGGAGTGATCATGGCTGATGGTGACGATGATGATGATGGCGATGTGCCGATGATGAAGAGTGCGATGCGCACGTGGTTGACAATATGTACGGACGTGCAGTGCGGTAGCTGCAATGCCACGGGTACTGTAACGCATAGACTGCAGCGGTGTGCATCGGTAGTGCACGCACGATAGGTGTGTTGCGATGCTTCATCACGTAATCATCAGCGACGATTAATCCACTGCTGGATGAATGCCCTCGCTATCTCTCCGTTGTAAGAATATACAGTACTTTACCGCATCGCGTTTATCTAGCACTAACGGGCTATTTTTTTGTTTGTTATCGTGCACATTGTTTAAGATTGCGTTAAATTCAAGAAGGCTACATAACGAACCCCCTTCTACCCTCCCGTGATAGGACATTGGTCCCTAAACGCACCGAGTATCCGCTCCTCTCTCCCCCTGCTAAACTGCGCGGTTTTCCAAGTGACGTATTGATTGTAACAATGCAAAGATAAGATGCATTTTCATGCGGCCGAAACTAAACGCAGCCATCCCAACGCCTATAACCCAACACGCACTGACATCTTACGTTCTGTATACGGCGCCACCGCTGTGTTGTACCATGCCAGGGCGTTCTTTAACACGTACACACGACAGTATCTTACTAAATCGGGTACTACTACGACTTGCCCACGACGCAGGAACATTGCCCCCGAAACGTCGCCCATTATACATGTTTCGTTCTTGTAAAGCCACAGTACTGTTGACGACTGTGTTGTGTTTATTGTGTTTGTGCGCGGCTGCCCTTCGCAGCAGCACCAGATACAATGAAAACAATGACTCATAACGGTGGTACAGTAGTATTGTGTAGACTGCATGCGCTTTATGTAACACGTACAGCGGCAATCTGATGCGATTATAATTGAACGCGCGGGGCAATTGGGAACGCGACCGACAGGGCTCTCACGTCTCACCGAGGAGACGGAGCGATGAAATCAGCTTGTGTGTGCCTGATGCCAGATGGATGATGATTATCACAATGATCACACCGCAAGGATAGTAAGAGATTGTGACGGCGTGGAAGGATGCCGTCGTCCAGAAGCGGATTGATCATGGCTGATGATGACCGTATGGTGTTGTGTGCTTCACGCGTTTGTTGATCATAGCCCGTGATGAGCACCGTACTATGGAAAACACGCGTAGCAGCATCGTCACCATCGTACAAGAAGGCGAGTTGGCGAGCCTAAAGCCATCTCTTAAGGACGCCTTAATTCGCTACGAAACGGATGAAACTTTATATAAGTGTGTGTGTGCATTTCACCCGTGTGTGCGCGCGATGGACGAATACACGATGTGGTGTGCGCGTGTGTACACGTGTGTGTACACGTGTGTGCGTAACAGACAAGCGTGCGCGTGTGTGCGTGCGATCGACGTGTGTACACGATGTGGTGTGCGCGTGTACACACGTGTGTGTGTGTGCGCGCGCGCGTGTACACACGTGTGTGTGTGGTATAATCGGTGCACACTCGCGCGATGGACATGTACACGAGACGGCGTGAGTGTGCGCCTGTGTGTACACGCGAGTGCACGCGCGCGCGTCTTGTAAGACGGGGAATCCGCGCGCAACACGGAGCGTGTACACCGTTGACGTGGTGAGTACGCGCGCGTGTGTGCGTGCGTGTGCACGTGTGCCGCCGCGTACGCGCCGGAGAAGCGGAGTGCGCGACTGCTTACCTTGAGCGAGTAGCTGACGCCTACTTCTCCATGCGAAATATCGTTTGTAAAAGATTATCTTCAAATGAATAATGAAGAATTCCCGCATGATTAAACCGTAATGCGGTGCATTCCGAGTTTGTGGGACGTCGTGGGGGGGGGTGAGGGTGATGGGGTTGGTGGTGGTGGGGGGGATGATGTTGATGATGGAGGGAGGGGAAGAGGGGTGGGTGGGGTGGGTGGGTTGGTTGGTCCCTTCACGGATGAGACAAGATCAGTCAACTCGCAACGCTCTCTCACTCGACACCAAAAGTGGAGGACGCAGTTTTCGCAGCGCGCAAATGACGGAGCGAACCGGAGGGCCCCAGGAACTTCGACTGGCTGTGTAGCTCCGCTCAAAGAATAAGTGTGTTTTTTATTTTTATTATCATCAGACATACCCCCTCCCCCTACCCCCCAGCCTAGCCTGTCCCAGCCCGGCTGGTGTACCCCCACCCACTCAGCCACCAAAGCACAAACACGCCAACCCACCCCTGCGTTCGAATGGGTCAGCCCTTGCCATTAAAAAGCCTTCCATTGTCTCGCTATAAAATTGCACATCAATAGATGGGAGCGCGTTGAATATAGCGCAGCACGCAATAACTTGTTTATGTTTCAAAATAGTTGAACTTCTGCCAGGATTGCTTTGGCTTAGCCAAACAGAGGCGGCTGTACAAGGGCGTGTAGGACCGGTTTTTTTCATTATATATACAAAAGACAAAACAGACCCCGGCTCTCCGCCCCCACCGCCAACCCATACCCCACCGTACACAGACAGTTCAGTATTTTTTTGACGGTGGTGCGGTCCCCCTGCACCACGCCCGGCCGCCTTTGTCTCCCCAGTGCTGATGGTGTATACGTTACACACACCGCTCCAGACACTAATTTAAGGCTGTGTCGACGTGTGTGTGTGGGGGGGGGGGGGGCAGGACTGAATCAGATATCTACATATCATTCAATACTGATGTTAGCCGTAGCCGGGAATCGAACCCAGCTGGTTGGATTCGTATAGCGCTGTGCGCCGCTAATCATTGCGCCATCACTCGCTCGCTCTCCCTCTCCCTTAAACACAAAGCACTCACGGTTTTCGGTTATTATTTTGTGCAGTGCGTAGCCGCGTTTATTTATTTATTAAGTGTTTAAACATGTTGAAACAAATTCTGGGAAAATATTGTGAAGTTTTGTTTAATTTCCCCGTAATCTCGGGTGTATGGATTTTAATTGTTTATTTATCACGTACCCCAAAAGAAAAAAGGCTTGTGAAACTTTTTGATCACTCCAAGAGTCCAAAGACTTCTGAACGCTTTCCAACTCAGGTTTATATATTAGCTCTGTCCGTCTGGCTATACCGGGGGCCCGCGGGGTGGGGAGGCGTACTACTCTCGTAAAGAGGGACCGATGTTCACGAACGTTTATAGTTAATAATGTGTGTAAGTCGATGTGTGTGTGTGTCTGTCTTTTTCGCCCGGGCAACGCCGGGTACTTACCGCTAGTAGTTATGTTGCTGTGAACGGGGCGAACGCGGTTGAAAATCGGCCAAATTGGGGAAGAGGGCTTTCCCAGAGCGTGAACGCACAAACTCGAGCAAACAAAAATAACTATTTGAAAATATGCAAAGCTAATTTTGTCCTGGTAGCTATCGGACAGCTTCCATGCGTGTGTATGGTTGTTTTATTCCTTATTTCAGTGGGGAGGCGGAGTCATTCAGAAATTAATGTTTGTGCAATTTTTTTTTCATTTCATGTGCTTTAATCTTATTTGTTTTGTGTTCATACTTGTGCTGTGAACAAGGGCCATTTCCTGACACTTCGTTATAAATGCTTGTTTTTTATTACGTTTTTTTAAGGCCAGAGTGTTATTGACACATGTGTGGAGCTGTTTATTATTATTGACGCTATGGAACCGGGTGGTGGTCCAATTCTTAAAAAATGTTAATCAATGTGTGTTGGTTTAAACATACATAACATACATGTGGTACATACACACATACAGTGAGGGAAAAAAGTATTTGATCCCCTGCTGATTTTGTACGTTTGCCCACTGACAAAGAAATGATCAGTCTATAATTTTAATGGTAGGTTTATTTGAACAGTGAGAGACAGAATAACAACAACAAAATACAGAAAAACGCATGTCAAAAATGTTATAAATTGATTTGCATTTTTATGAGGGAAATAAGTATTTGACCCCTCTGCAAAACATGACTTAGTACTTGGTGGCAAAAACCCTTGTTGGCAATCACAGAGGTCAGACGTTTCTTGTAGTTGGCCACCAGGTTTGCACACATCTCAGGAGGGATTTTGTCCCACTCCTCTTTGTAGATCTTCTCCAAGTCATTAAGGTTTCGAGGCTGACGTTTGGCAACTCGAACCTTCAACTCCCTCCACAGATTTTCTATGGGATTAAGGTCTGGAGACTGGCTAGGCCACTCCAGGACCTTAATGTGCTTCTTCTTGAGCCACTCCTTTGTTGCCTTGGCCGTGTGTTTTGGGTCATTGTCATGCTGGAATACCCATCCACGACCCATTTTCAATGCCCTGGCTGAGGGAAGGAGGTTCTCATCCAAGATTTGACAGTACATGGCCCCGTCCATCGTCCCTTTGATGCGGTGAAGTTGTCCTATCCCCTTAGCAGAAAAAACACCCCCCAAGCATAATGTTTCCACCTCCATGTTTAACGGTGGGGATGGTGTTCTTGGGGTCATAGGCAGCATTCCTCCTCCTCCAAACACGGCGAGTTGAGTTGATGCCAAAGATCTCCATTTTGGTCTCATCTGACCACAACACTTTCACCCAGTTGTCCTCTGAATCATTCAGATGTTCATTGGCAAACTTCAGACGGGCATGTATATGTGCTTTCTTGAGCAGGGGGACCTTGCGGGCGCTGCAGGATTTCAGTTCTTCACGGCGTAGTGTGTTACCAATTGTTTTCTTGGTGACTATGGTCCCAGCTGCCTTGAGATCATTGACAAGATCCTCTCGTGTAGTTTTGGGCTGATTCCTCACCGTTCTCATGATCATTGCAACTCCACGAGGTGAGATCTTGCATGGAGCCCCAGGCCGAGAGAGATTGACAGTTCTTTTGTGTTTCTTCAATTTGCGAATAATCGCACCAACTGTTGTCACCTTCTCACCAAGCTGCTTGGCAATGGTCTTGTAGCCCATTCCAGCCTTGTGTAGGTCTTCAATCTTGTCCCTGACATTCTTGGAGAGCGCTTTGGTCTTGGCCATGGCGGAGAGTTTGGAATCTGATTGATTGATTGCTTCTGTGGACAGGTGTCTTTTATACAGGTAACAAGTTGAGAATAGAAGCGCTCCCTTTAAGAGTGTGCTCCTAATCTCAGCTCGTTACCTGTATAAAAGACACCTGGGAGCCAGAAAATGTTCTGATTGAGAGGGGGTCCAATACTTTTTTCCCTCATTAAAATGCAAATCAATTTATAACATGTTTTACATGCGTTTTTCTGGATTTTCTGTTGTTATTCTGTCTCTCACTGTTCAAATAAAGCTACCATTAAAATTATAGACTGATCATTTCTTTGTCAGTGGGCAAACGTACAAAATCAGCAGGGGATCAAATACTTTTTTTCCCTCACTGTACATAGTGTGCCCTATTCAGTGTGTATGTACTATACATGTGGGTGTAGTACACATTGTGTGTACATGGCAGTTACTCTGTATGGCAAAGAGGACACGCGGCTGACGAGGGTGAAAATTTTCGCTATTAAAAAAAAGATCTCGTGGCGAGCGAAATCCGCGTTGTGCAGAGAAATGAGATGGTGACAGGGGGAGGAGGGAGGGATGCGGATGGATGGGGAGGGAGGGACGGGGTGTATCCAGGCAGGGCTGGGCCACTGGGTAAGAGAAGACGGGGGTGTGTGGAGAGACTCGGGGGGGTAGGGGAGGCGCTTAGAACACAAGATAAAGCGATATATCAAACATTAAGATACAAATATTACAAACAGCCGGCATCTTTAGGAGAGGTTGGGGATGGGGAGGGTTAAACATTTCCAGCCCGTGTTCAATCCACTGCTGGATGAGGTGCCCCCCCCCCCACCTCCACTACACCACAATTGTAGGTAATGGGAGTTGTTCGGACGTTCATCACCCATGCGGGTTGGGGAAGAGGGTGAGGAGGAGGAGGAGGAGTAGCAGGCCCAGCAACGGTTCTGATATGAATCGCCACTCGTGTTCATCGTGTTCTGGGGGGAATAGGTGCTCAGGCCGCTGGGCTCATATCTCAGGCGCGCTAACCTCTGCGCCACCGCTCCGCCTGGTTAACCATTAGCATTCTCTTTAACACCCTTTGCGTCTCTAACTCTTTGAAGATAAGGCGCAATTTTCCATCTCACACTGGGACTTGCCGACCAAGCGCTCTCTTGTGCGGGGGCTTAATTTTTCACTGCACGTTTTCCGGCTCGCTGGGTAGACTGGAGCAGGTAGCACGTGACTACTAGTAGCCACAGCCACAGCGGGATTGCATTCTGGAAGCGGTGTGCCGGGACATGGAAATCTTATCCACTTCGCAGACGCGGATAAAATTAATCATTGGTGCTCTCCATCTGCCAACGCGCACTGACCAGTATGGTCAATCAGCGCTGACACACCCAGGGGAGGGAGGCGTTCATCCAGCAGTGGATTGATAAAAGGGTTATGCATTGTTATTACAATATATGGGCAGAAATATCTTAATATTGCTATTACAAAAAACGTTTTATATATAGACCTATAATGGGCTTCCCTTTCTGCCTTTAAATGATAACACGAAATCACCAGGAGCGTCATTGTGGAGAATATAAATAACAAAATAGAGAAGCAGACAATGTCTCCTTCATACATCCGTCCCTCCACATTTCAATTAATAGCTAGGAAAGGGGGTTAAAGGCGCAGCCCTGCAATTGCCCGCTCACACCACTGCTGGAAAAAGGGTCTCCACTAGACGGAGCTCAGAAGAGCTCATAAAATAGAGGGTATTTGGCCTACTCTTCCACGCATCCCAGGCGTCTTGGGAGAGATATGTATGTATTAGTACCCACAGTTTACCCCACCGCACACGACTTGCCGATCGACACACTCTCATGGATATCTGCAACAACAAAAAAATAATTGTATTCATAACCCACACGCTTATCTACGCAACAATCACACTTAGCGTATCTTGCTACATCAGCTAATTGCAATATGTATTGTGTATAGGCTACTCGCTATTTTAAGCGCAGTGCTGAAAATGCCTTCTGGTCAGAACGTGGTTTTGAAATTAATTTTGGTCAGTTGAATAAATTCCACTTAGATCGGGCAGCGCATCATCATAGAATGATTTTATATTGCACGGTTTAAATCAGCCACATCAACAGTAATCATCATCATCAGCAGCGATCATACGTCATCTTCAAT